TCAAGAAAATCTGAGATTAATACATTACAAACAAATAAATAAATATGGCTACTAAATAAATCAGAAGCTGCTAATCATCTTCTTTATCTAATCATACGCACAACATAACCAAAGAAACGCAAAAACAAAAATTCACTGAATAATATATATATATGTCAACATGGAATCAAACACAAGCAGAGCATAGGCATAGCCTATGGCTGGTATTTCTTGTTGGTTCTCAGCATAAACACTCTTTTTTTGTCTCTGTCTCTATCTTTCTCTGTCTCTCTCTTCCATAATCAAACCCATTTTTCTCTCTCTATCTAGACCTGGAAACACGAAACAGAGTGAAAGAAGAAAGTTGAAATCCAATGAGTCAGTCCCAAAGAAGAAGAAAGAAACAACCACAGAGAGGAATGAGTGTGGCTCAGCTTAAGCGTCTCAGATTGCAAGACCAAGACTGTTGGAAGAAGATAACCCAAACAAATATATACACAAAATTTCACTAACATAAACATATTTTGCAAATCTATTAAGAGAAAATTTTTAACTCATAAATCCACAGGTTTTGAGTGGTAATCGAACGACGAGTGACCAAAAGAGGGATCTATCAGTTTCGTGTGGCATCGTTGAGAGTCGAAAGGGTGGCGTCGTTGTTGGTGGCTGCACTTCATGTTCGTGGCCTTTGTACCTTTGCCGTTCTCCAACCCTGATGAAGAAATAAAATGAGAGTCTGAGACAGAGAGGGAAGAAAAGAATAGATACAGTAGGGCTTTGTTTTTAGTTTTAATCTAATGGTTGAAATAAAAGATTCTAATCCCAAGGCTAAAGACCAACCAAATAAAAACAAAAAAAATTAAGGGCCACATAGTTAATTTGTACATATATTATATAATTTATATACTATATAAAATGCAATTTGAGTTCGGATTGCTCGGCTTACTCACAGATTCTGCCCAGGTCCGGCCCAAATTACAATTCGGGTATCAAAAATCTTCCCAGGCTTATCCAGATTACAAGATATTGTTGTCCAAGCCCTAAAAAAATTTGGGCTGGGCACGAGTTGCTCGGGTTGAGCCCATCCCCTAATTCTTTGAGCTGTTTAATTGTTTCTTCATATTTCCCCTTGAAAGTTAAATAAATATTATAAGCTGAGTCTCCTAAAAGTGTCTCCATGTATTCCCACATATCTGTTGATTCATAGGGACTAGTCATCCATGCTTTTACTGCATCTTTTTCCCATCTTTCTATTACTTCCTGCCATATCTGAGGGTCGAATCTAGCTAAATCTAAAAGGGTTCCTTGATTATGGACTGGCTGTAATTGTATACTCATATCTAATTGTCTACACTTTCCATGAAACCGATAGCTCTTATTTGGATCTGCGTGACTTCGTCCTAAACTGGCTAATGGTCTTCTTCCTCCTACTGCATAATGCATTGGTTCTACGGGATCTCCTACAGTTGGTTGTGGGTTACTAGTGCTTGTGCTTTCTGTATTCATATAAAAAGTATCTTCTAACCTAGATTGTTTTGGTATTTTAAATATTTTACTAGGATGTATTTTATCTTCTATGATATCATCTACATATTCTGTATGAAATTCCTGATCCAAAAACGACACTGCTTCGTCATAGGTATCTCCTCTGGCTAAGTATTCATAATATCTAGCATCTAGTATTTTATTCATGTCTTCTAGGGTAAATTTCTCTAAATCTATCTCATCAATATTATATATCTTATTTTGTGATATAGTTTTTTCTTCCGTCATTACGTAAAGCTGATTTATTTCACTACGATTATCTTGATTTTCTTCCCTATCTATACTACTAAATTCATCATCTTCAGATTTTTCTGGTGCT